GTCCAAGATTAACCTTCAGGGTGGATATAGCTCGCTAGCAGCCTCGCACCGAGGACCTATCCACATCATCATTTACCCAGAATGCTTTGAGTGTAAATAAAATGGCTCCGTCCGTGTTAAAATATATTTTTAAAAATTTACAAACTAATCAGCCTACAGTATTTTTACAGTATTTATTTTACAGTTAAAATAAATGTTTATCAAATAAAGTCTAATGTTACAACTAATCAAGGATCCCTTTAAATCTGACCTGGGTCCAGGTTGGAGCCTTGTTGAGTCTGTAGCGGAGCCGACAGCCGCCGTCGACGCTGCTGTTCCACGACACGACCAGAGAGTCCTCAGTGGACCCCAGAACCGTTAAAATTGACCGAAGGGGTTTGACTGAGGAGACGAGACAAAGATTCAGTTTTTGGTTGGACTCATCCAGAACATTTAAAGAGCTTTATGATCAAAATAATCTAATAAATACAAAAAATAATAATAAAAAACTGGTAAGCAGGGATGTTGTGGAGCTTTTAACCTGCATCAAATAGAAACACAGGATGAGGTTGAGACCAGATCTCCCTCCCGGTCCTGTAGTCCTTCATCCTGACCGACACGTTGAGTTTGGAGACGGGGTTAAAGACGCCGCGACAGAATAGGATTTTAGACTCTCTGAGGACAGGAAGGAGATCAGTTAAAGTGCCTCTGACGTCACATTTTTTATAATAAATATGAAGCATTTTTGGAAAAGGAACATTAATAACATGTTGCAAAAAAATAAAAAACTTTGACACTGCTGAGATGAACAGTTGTTGAGATATTTGCATGTGAAGAAACAGGAAGTGATGTCAAAGGGGAATGTCTGCATGTAAATAAAGCATTGAAGAATCTGATGTTTCTTCAGATCATTTTGAGTCACTATCAGAGAGATGAAGAAGAGTCAGAGTTCAAATAATATTGTTTCAATAAACAAACACTAGAAAGTTTGTTTTCGTAGAGCTCCCCTGTCACTTCCTGTTTCACTTTTTTATGAGCCAATTTCAAAAGAAAATATGCCAGTTATGTGACAAAATGAATAAAATCATGTATTATGTCAAGTTTCTTCAATGTAAAGATGTTTTCTTTGACTTTTTGTATTTAAAGGACATGCATGCGACAGGTACTTTAAAAAGGTGATTGTTTACCTGCTGAAGATCAGCGAGGCGTCAGGCTGAACGCTGGCCTCCTGACTCCAGCTGCAGGTCACAGATCGGACTCGCTTTGGAATTTCCTGGTAGAAACAGGTCATGTTCAGGGTCTCTGCAGGAAAACAGAGCTGGTTTGGTGCAACTGTTCGTTGGATTATTATTTATACATATAAAATGTGTGTGTGTGTGTGTGTGTGTGTGTG